CGGGAGAAATTGCCATCCCTAGAGATGGCAGGAGAGAGATGACATTCTTGTAATTTGTAAGAGAGAGAGAGAGAGAGAGAGAGTTGGTAGGAAAGTGAGTGGCACTCTTGTAATTTGAAAGAAAAAAAAGCAAGAGAGAGAGAGAATTGGTAGGAGAGAGTGGTATTTTTGTAATTTGAGAGAAAAGAAAGCAAAAGAAAGAGAGAGAGTTGGTAGAGAGTGGAACTCTTGTAATTTCTATGAAAAAAGGCAAAACATACCGTTAGATTCCATTTACTTCATCCTCAGGCCTTCTTAAATACACATTTCAGCTTAATATATTTATATTGATATTGATATTGATATTGTTCCTTCAAAAAAGTTGTTTTTGAAGTTTATTTAATTTGAAATTTATTGTTTAGATGATGCATATAAAATGCATATATTATATATTCAAAAAAGTAGTTTTGAAGTTAATTTAAATTTTCTATAACCATGAAATCAAAATAATGAGTTTAAAGATGAAAATTTTAACTGATAATAAATTTTAATATTGAAATTTATTGTTGATTCAAAAAAGCATTGAAATTTATTATTTATATGCTGTTTAATTTAGAAATACTTTGAGTTCAAATATGATGTATTTATTGATGTTGGTTACATCTCAACCGATCACATTAAAAATGTCTTAACCACTGGCTGGGTCTAAACCATTCGACCCAACAGGTCGAACCAGTGACCCACGACCCAGAGGCAAAAACAATTCGGCCTCCGGATCGGTTTTTAAAACGCTGCTTTCAGACCATTGTTCAGAGTGCATGATTTGTCCGTTTCACACCAGTAAGATATTTTGTTCCATTCAAATAAAGGTGATTTCACCTCATGACCTCAAACATGCATATAACAGATAGTAAGTGCTTGGGTGGTCCAATACAGCATTCATTAATTAAAAATACGGTGTTATTGGGTACACGATAGATCATGGACCTGAGGCTGAGGTCCCCCACCCTGGCTATGGTCTTACAATTTGGAGGGTGACAACTATGGATTTTTGTTCACTTTAAATGATAGCTAGCTTATTTGTCTTCTAAAATGAAGAACTTACGTATGTGTCCATTATATATAATAATAATAATAATTAAAAAAATTGAAATATGATAAAAGAAAGCACACAAAATACACTTAAATATTCTTACCCACAAAAGGGCAAAATATCATCCAAAATAAAAAATATCAAATGAAATGTAAGCCAATGACTGTGTATTAACTCTAGGTAGCCAGTTGGCATCCCTTCTATGGACGAGGTAGTAGACAAAAAGAAAAAAATAGGTGGTATATATATACATAGATATTATATAGGCTGAATGCATGAATACATTAGAATCTAGAATTTCCTCTGTATGATAGTCTAGATTGGCCCCAGCACTTTGCCACATGTCACAATTGGATAGGTCCATCAGGGAATACACTAGTTGTGGGTTTAGGGTACTTATAACCCATTTGTGGATTGGCCCCAAATACATAAATACTCTCTTATTTATATTTTGAACCTTGTTAACGACTTCTCCGAAGTAGTGCAATTATTCAATTAATGCTAGCTGAAGCCCTCGCAAACGGGCTTGGAAGAGAGGACCAGGTGAAACACCATTGGCATTTTGTTGTGTCCTTTTCTCCTGCTTCAGGGTTGTGGTTTTGGACTTGTGGGAAACTCGCCCTCACAGGGTGACGTCCAATCTCCATTCTCCAATGCTGGACCTGTGATCTGCAGGGGAAGGATTTTTTTGTCAATACACATTTGGGTTTGGCTTTGGTTAATCTTCAAGACCCGAATATTGTTTGGAATCCGGGTCGGGCCAGTTCAGTCAGAGACCTTGATGGTCTCAGATTAAATCCACGGAAGAGATAGGTACTAATTTGGGGTACTTTGGCTTGCCTTCAATGTTGCATGTAATTCATTGATTTTCAATATTACCAATCTATCAAGGGGTTGTTTGACAAGTCTTTTTAGGTATATCTTTTAATAGTGGATAAAAAATGCATTGAATTTTTTGGTATGACCAAATACTATTTGATTCACATCGTGGTTTTATTAGGTTGTTAAAAATAGTTGGGAAGGCTATTTTCAGTGCAGAAAGACTAAAAATTTCATTTAAAGATTCCCAATTTTTTGTTTTTTTTGGTCATGTCGCATTCTTGTCTTGGGTCTTTTGTTCTACATGGTACCAAATGGGAAAAAGACCGTTTTTTTTTTTTCTTTTTTGGCACTTTTAGCTTCCCGTAAACCAAAAGGCACGTCAAAAAATACGCCAAGCAACACCTAAATTCTCTGAATTAGGACAAGGGGGTTGTTTGATACAGTAGAGATGTGTTGCTATTGCATTTTTTTTATTGATCCTTACAAATTTATGAGAAATATGTGCTGTTACATCATATATAAGTGTTATTCCATTTAGAAAAATGCACGACAGACAGACCTATTGCAGATTTCTGAATTTTATTGTAGACTTATAAATATTCAAAATGTCAAATATCCCCACTCTATACATCAATGTCTGCCTGTGAATTAACACCAATTCCAAATTGATAGTCGAATCCATTGTAAACAGATGTTTTCTACTCTCGTTTGTTGGATTTGTTCCGTGGGGACTGGGGAATGAACTTTTTTTTTTTGACTGGCTAAGCCCATGAAATACTTATGCCTCATGTTGGTTGAAGGTCAAATTAATATCCAATGTTGGAACGATTCGATGGCGGGCCTGAAAGTTATAATTCATAAATCTAGTCCAATTACTCTCGAGTAGAACTATTTTTTCACTTTAATAATTGGCTTTCCTTCATGTGCACTGCTACTCCCTTCATGAAACTGACTTGTAAATTTCTTATAGTTATACACTCTCCATAATACCACGTATTTAGATTAGTCACCAATCCATTCAATCCATTTGGGATTCCCACCAATGTCTAAAACTAGAGATCACATCTTCGCCCTACAGGACATTTCCGCCATGTATTGGGAATATCACATCTCCCGATGATGACATCATCAGGACTGGTATTATCATCAGAAGATGTTCCCAATATAGAACGTGCTGTAGGGTGGAGATATGAACTCGTCAAACTATGTCTGTTTCTGTGAATATCTTCTTCCTAACTCAACTCAACTCAACTAAGCCTTAAATTTGACTTCTTTTTTTCCTTTTTTGTTGAAGTCACTGGTACAAATTCCATTCATCAATTCTCAGTCAAATACAATCTGAATAATGTAGCAAAACAGAGAGAATAAAATAAAAGCAGAAGATATATTCCGGTTTTTCTCTTGCAAAGAAGACAATGCATGCTTAGCTAGGAGTGAGACTGAGATATGTGGGGATGATGAGCTAGCATGTCTCTCCAATTCATATGATTTGACGAATATGCCATGGAGGGTCATGCTTCTTTCATCCATAAAATCTTGTTGTTTTGAATGTGATGCTTGGTCTAAGAGTTCCGTGCTTCCAACTGATAAAAGAATAGATCTTTAATTTGGTTATTTAACTCCAAAGAATTGAATGATCAAAAAATATTTGACTAGGTAGATTGAATGGTTTGTGTTGCTTGGGTTTTTAAACTGTCATTGGCCCAGATGGTTGGACCATTCGACTTGGGAACTGTTCAGGCAATCAGTTCTATTTTACCTTAAACCTGGCCCTTGGTCAAAAACCATTGAAATGGTCAGTGACATATTGACCCGGGCAATTGAAAAGTTGACCCGTTTGACCTATTCAATATTTTTTGTATCTTAGTCATTTTCATTCTTTTTTAAATTGGGATGGGTCGTTCATTTGAACTAGATGGTCGAACCATTGACCCGAAAATTAGTGGCCATAATGGTCCAGTTCTAGGCTGCTTTTTAAAGCCATGATTTTATCTGAATTAAAATTCGATTCAGTCCAGCCTGATCAGATGTTAAAGTTGGTTTGGATGCTATACACTCGTTAAAAAAGAGTTCAACTAAGGTGCAATCACTAATCACTAATATTGGTTGCACATTAAATCTAGATCTCAATCAGTGAGCTTGAAGTCTGTTTACTTTTCATTTTTATATTTTATAAAATATATTTTCACATTTAGTAAGACATACTTTTCATCACATTCAATCAATCCCGTCTTTTGCTGCACAGTACAGTGGATGATGCATCATATATTTTGCCATTAAAGAATGATGAGTTTAAAATAGTATATAAGTTATTCATAATTTTTAATTAATTTTGTTCATGATGTATAATATTTAATTTATTTTATTAAGAAAAAATTTATTTATACCTCCCCTGGTGTTGTGGTCAAATAGTAAGAACTCCCTTTGAGTTTACCTGTTAACTTACCTATCATATCTAATGCATTTCACAAATCAGTAGGCTCAGTTTGGAAGGAGAATGTATCTGTATATGTACTTTTTCTAAATTAAGCCTTGATAATGAATATATCGTTAAAAAGTAAATAGTAAAAGAACATATGCACATTAATCACACAATCAATTCTCACAAATGATAGTTAAAAAAATGAAAAACAAATAACAAAAGGGTTCACTCATTCATCCAATTAAGATTTTTTGGCAAAAAATATTTAATGTACTTATTTGAGTAGCGAATGGATGGTTACCCCGATCCCAGATAAATAACTAGGGGCGAGGAGAACGAGGTCTCACGTGGAGAGATCAAAGAAGGGACAAAACGAAGTTCATTTGTTCGCCGGGCTTGGGACCACAGAGCCGGCAGAATAATCGGCTCAGGCGCTCAGCGCGTCACAAACAAAGCCGACACACGTCGCCGTTTGCCAACTCAGCATCTCCGGTTTATTAGGTCAGCAGACACTAATATTTGCATAATGCACTTAATTAACACCTGATTATTTAATAATATTAATAATTAATTAGTTGCCTTTTATTTTTATTAATAATAAATATTTCCTTCCTTGTATACGTTTCTTCAACTCATATTACTTTATTTATTTATACTCCTTATAATGCTCTCGTGGCTCGCCCCACTTCTCTTTCTCCTCTGTCTGTTTTCTCTTTCTCTTCCCTCTCCGCCTCTGATAGTGCTCTCTCTCCATCTCCTTTCTGCTTGTCTCTCTTCGTTTAAGAGATCTGGGGATACTTTGTTAATCTGCTCATTTGAAGTTCCTATTAGATGTCTTGAGGTCTTTCAGGTATATTATCTGCTTCTGATCTGAGCTGATGTTTTGTTCATTCCGTTTGTTCTATTTGTCATTTTTTTTGTTCGAATGGTGGAAAATCAGTTCCTTTTGGTTGCATAGCTTGTTCTTTGCGATGATTTGGTTTTTTGGTGGTTTTTTTGCTTGCCTGTTTCAGTGTTTGATTGATTAAGGTTAGTTTTGTCCTTTGCCTATTGGTTTATTGCTTGTATGGTTCTTGTGTTGCTTTGAGATTTAGGTTTTAGGAGATTTGTGCTTTGGGTTATGAAAGTAATTGTTTTAGTACAGGAACTTGTTTAATTCGATATTGAAGTTGCTTAAAGTTCTTATTTCTTCTGCTCTTATAGTCCTATTCCAGCTTTATAGTAAATCTGTTGCTCTGTTTGATTGGCCACTTGATTGGGTTATCCACCTTGCTATGTTTTCTTTTGCTATCTTCTTTTTGGAATGGCTGCTATATAGAAACCACTCTAGAGGTTTGCTGGACTATGATTTTTTTTTTTTTTTTTTATGGATTTTAAAGCATATGGAGAACTTTACAGCTCTCAGTTGATGTTTTAGAGTAATAAGTAATGCTTTCTGATGTCTCAGTGGAGGTACTTTAAAGGGAAAACTGAAAAGTTATATGATGTTCTTTTTCTTTTTTCTTTTTCCCCTTCAATAGATTAACTTTTCAGTTCTCTTTTGGATCTATAAAAATGGTTTTCTGTTCCCTTGTTCCAAACCTGAGCTTCTGTCTTTTGCTGAATTTTATCGAGGTATAGTTAAACATGCCCACTGTTTATCTCTCCCTGTGGCAGGTTTGTTTTTCTTAGTTGGTAACTGATTAAGAGGTTTCTTTCCAGAACTCCAACAAGTGTCATTAGTATGCTCTAGCTTGAATTCCAGGGTTAGGTATAATTTCAACAAGTGTCATTAGTATGCTCTAGCTTCCAAGTTTTATTGGATCGTTTAGCTTTATCTTTATCTCATTTACATACCTGGTCTAAGACTCCTGAGTTTCTTGTAGATTGTATCCATAATGACTGTTTTCTGAGCACATAAATATATTAACTTTGCCTAGAAGGGCTTCAAAAAAACTTCCAAGTTTTTAATTTATTTCCTATGGGCACATTCTGTTCCTTGACAATGGTTGTTACTATAGAGGATATCTTTATGATTATATTGTTGTAATTCTACTTCCAGATCTGTAAGGAAGATAATTAAATAAATTAGTTGATGGGAGAAGGTTGAAATTATTGAAGGGTATTTAATACTATTAAATGGCTAACAGATTGGACTTGTCTTAATACTTTGCTGTGTGCACAAAGTGGATGATGATTTCATATGTGAGTGGATGCATGATACTTGGTTTTAAGTGCACTATATTCTTGAAAGGTTGCATATTGTTACTGTATGAAAATCTTGTTTGAGTTAAGATGTTTTTAAGAAAATTGGTATGCTAATGCTTTTTGAATGCTGAATCAGATAGTGAAAATTATTAAAGCCTTAAAGGAATGCAATATTCGTTCATATAAACTTAGGATGGTATTAGGATGTGCTGGTACTTAGCACTATTCACCTGATTGGACCCCTTTCATGACAATCTGAAAAGTTAAGTTGGTGATCCTCCTCACTGAAGTCCAAAGATTACAGGATTTGCAAAGCTTAATTTTGTCCAAGCAAAAACAGGAGTTGAATGCCCAAAAACTGTAGTTTATTTGGTTAGTAGTAACTAATGGACCTTTAATAACTCCCTATCAGCGTCTGAGAAAACCATTGGCATGCTCAAGGTTTCTGAAATAGCCTATTTTGTCAGGTTTTTCAGGTAAGCTGTGGTAACAGGAAATAGATATATGCTATTTCTTGATTCTTTTTTTCTTTTGATTTCTAATTGTGTTGTTGTACTTGTTTAGTTGCGTAGTGACTTGGTAAATCTTAATTAGTGACTGTTTGTTTTCATCTAACCATATCATTATGAGGATTGTTGGGTGGAGGTGTTATTACAAGTTTCGTGCCATTATCATGTTAGCACACCTATGATTGTTTGGTTTAGTTCACGTAGGTAGTTTGGAATTGGTAAAGGTCATTTTGAGTGCCTGTTAGAATGTTCATGTTGGTCTTGTAGGAAATAAAATGGTAGAGAATGTTGAAATTGCTCTTAAAGAACTCAAACTGGTATAGCATGGTAAATGCTTGCCATGTCTTGAAGTTTAATGACTACAGTGGTATTTGGAACAAGCCTGATCTATTCTGTGTTTCAAAATTTGACACTTTGTTGGATTCAACCTCTTGTTTCCTCTAATTCTAGAATGCATATTTTTTGCAAACTATTCCTGCATACACTTAGAGCTTGCATGTCTTTTTCTATGTAACATCTATAGATATGGATATAAAAAATGATGGTATTTCTTCTCTGCAGTCAATGCATGCCTTATTGTCAGTCATTATCACCTGTCTTGGCACCATTTGCATAGCCTTAACTGAAAACCACTCTGATCAGACAAATCCAGTCTGATTTATGGCTAAAACATCACATTAAAAAAATATCCAAAGTGGGTGATGATTGGTAACAATGCTTTTAGTTATTTCTATTATTTAGTTTTCTCCTGCATATGTTTTTAGTTTGTTTTCTAGCTCTGGATAGTAACATGTCAAAATATACAAAACACATTCTAGAAGATGGGTCAGGGTACTTCTCCTGATTGTTCTAAATTTTCAACGTAAAATAATGTTGGCATTTTACACATGAATCCTTATTCTGGGGCTGAAAGGAATCCCAGTCCTGAAGATGTATTGGATTCTAAGAACTATTAGGTTTTTCTATAACAAATACTGACACCAAATGTTTTTATGTTTATATAAATGAAATTCCAATTTGTGTATGTGAAGTGTGCAAAGCATCAGATCATCAACTTTTATTTATTTGAATTAATTGTTGATTTTTTGTGTTTTTTTTTTATTTTAGATTTAATGAAGCTGAAGGATCCTTCAGAAAGGAGAAAACGACGCTCTGCAGATCTTCTCAGTGTTTCGGTCTTGACTGTTCTCATAAAAGGCTTCTATCCTAGAAACGTTGTCAGATATTATCAAAACTGAGTGCTTCAGTGGCAATTAATCCACAATTGTTGATTTGACACCCAACAAAAATGGACAGGAAGGACACATCAGGCTTTGTAAGTGGTGGTGGTCTCTTTATCAAGTTTTCTTCTACATTTGGTAATGCTGCATATACCTCTGAATAGGATTGTGGTAAGGCAGTTCTGCTAGGGGTTGTTCTTCTTTTGCTACTAGTGCCCCCAGACTAAAACTCAGACTCGGTATCTCCAGTTCATTTTGCTTTTTCTCATCATATGATGGATCTCAATGTGACAAATTTCCTATTCCCCGGTAATGGGGAGACCAGCAAAAATGATAACTTCAGTGATACAGCTTTGTGCCTGGACTTTCTTGGCTATGGAACAAAAAAGATTTCCAGATCTAGAGATTCTGGTAACAACCATTGCAATTTATCTGCCCAAGTTGCACCTGATGATGGTTGCGGGTTGGTACTTGGTTTAGGTCCCACACCAAGTTACTATTGTGATGATTACCACCGTTATGGGTCAGACAAAAACACTGGATCTGCTAATATACTTGGAGAAAAGTTGTCTTCTGATGGTGACTCTGGTATCCTAAAACTTGGCCTTCCTCAAGGAACTGGGGATGCCTTGAGTTCAGATGAAAATTTATTTGCAGACCAGGGCAATGTGAATGGGTCTTTTCACCGAAGCCAAATGTCTGCTGAAGAAAATAGAATTTCCATCCCTATCGTTGATGAAGGTTCAACTTCAGCAAAGAAATCTGGTGGATATATGCCATCCCTTCTACTGGCACCTAGGCAGTACACGGGCAACTTCCTTATGGAAACCCAGTCACTTTTAGAGTTGGGAACCAGGTCCCATCCTCCTCCAGCTCCTGTTCAGTTGAGTCCCGAGCCTTCGGTCATCACAGACTCAACAGGAAGACGATCTGAGCCTGTAACTAGTTTGACTTCTTCAGAACACAGGACCCACCATCCTAAGAAGTGTAAGTTTGATGGATGTTCAAAGGGAGCACGAGGGGCATCTGGTCTCTGTATTGCACATGGAGGTGGACAGAGATGCCATAAACCAGGATGCAACAAGGGTGCTGAAAGCAAAACTGCATATTGCAAGGCCCATGGAGGAGGGAGGAGATGCCAGCACTTGGGCTGCACCAAGAGTGCTGAGGGGAAGACGGATTTCTGTATAGCACATGGAGGTGGTAGGCGGTGTGGACAGCCAGGGTGCACAAAGGCAGCCCGAGGCAAATCAGGACGGTGTATCAAGCATGGTGGGGGCAAGAGATGCAAGGCTGAAGGTTGTACTCGTAGTGCAGAGGGACAAGCTGGATTGTGTATCTCTCATGGAGGGGGACGCCGGTGCCAGTACTCAGGTTGCACGAAGGGGGCCCAGGGAAGCACCATGTATTGTAAGGCTCATGGTGGAGGGAAGAGGTGTATATTTGCAGGGTGCACCAAAGGTGCTGAAGGGAGCACTCCCCTATGCAAGGGTCATGGAGGGGGTAAGCGCTGCCTATTTCAGGGTGGGGGAATATGCCCCAAAAGTGTACATGGTGGGACTGATTATTGTGTTGCGCATGGTGGGGGCAAGCGTTGTGCTGTTCCAAGCTGCACCAAGAGTGCCCGTGGTCGAACCGACTGCTGTGTCAGGCATGGTGGGGGAAAGAGGTGTAAGTTTGAAAACTGTGGAAAGAGTGCACAAGGAAGTACAGATTTCTGCAAAGCGCATGGTGGGGGAAAGCGGTGCACATGGAGGCAAGGCACATGTGAGAAATTTGCTAGAGGTAAGAGTGGGCTCTGTGCAGCACATAGCAGCATGGTCCAGGATCGTGACACAAGCAAGGGCGGTATGATTGGGCCAGGACTCTTCCGTGGACTAGTATCAGTTTCAACAGTTGGGAGCAGCATGGACAATGGTTATTCTTCTTCAGCTGTGAGTGCCATCTCCGACTGCATTGACTCACCAGAAAATCCAGCAAAAAGGCAGCACCTACTACCGCCCCAAGTCTTGGTTCCTCTGTCTATGAAGTTCTCATCATCTTCTGGGATATTGGGGGCTGAGAGGGAGGAAGGAAGAAGCAATCAGGGTGGTGGAGCTAGGAGTCTTGATTTTATGGTTCCTGAGGGAAGGGTACATGGTGGCGGTCTCCTGTCCTTGCTTGGTGGGAGTCTAAAAAACGCCATAGATGGGATCTAACTTCTAAGTTGCAATTTCAATTGGCGTATTTCAGACTTCAAGTGATTATTGTTTGGAATTTGGAATTAAACTGTGCATATTATGGCTGTGTTTGTCCTAGAGTAGGAGTCCAGAGTTTGGTCCTTGTAATTGATGGGAGTGAAGTATTAGTGTCAGTATTGGGGAAGCAAATTATAATGTAACCATAAGTGTCATAGTCTTTGATTCTTCTATACGCGTCCAATGATCCAATCTGAAATCTTTGGAGATGGGACTGTGTACATGGTTGTAAATAAGAGTTGTTTTTGTACAACTCTTAATCCCATTTTCTGTCCATGCTTACGTAGATACTCACTCCTCTATAATGGTCGGAGAAACAAAGGATAATCTGGTAGTAATCATACTTCTATGCTCAGTAAACATTCCTAATTTCCGATTGCAAATGCCCCTTGTACCCTCTATCGTTTCTGGATCTTCTGCAAATTTTCCTGCACTTTTCTCTTACATTTCCATTCAATCTGTCACAAATGTCTCATTGATGGGTATTCCCATACATGATTGTTTTCAGAGTTAAGATGTATAACGGGAAGCATCTTAGTGATTGAATGAAAATGCATGAAAAAGTGCAAGCAATTGATATATGGGAGCCACCTGTAATCCTCATCTTCCTTAGAAAGGATAAACCATAAAAGGAAAAGGTAAGTAAATTACAAATATCCTACTGGGTTTTGGGTTTTCAAATGAAAACAAATACCCACCCTGGGTTTCTAAAATTACTTTGCATTTACTACGAATTATTTGATAATTACAGATACCCTTAATTTGTCAAATACCATGACAAAACTGTATGACAATTTTGACCTTTGGTGCACTCAAGCCTAGACCTAACTGTTCTATAAGAAATATTTTATTGGATTAATTGGTTGACTTGTCTAAGAAATATTTTTATGATGAATGAAAATATGGACTTTTATGATGACAATTTTGACTTTTATTGGATTAATTGGTTGACTTGTTATAAGAAATATTGAGCTCAAGTAAAATGGCATATAGACATTGAAGTAGGATTTTTTTTTTTTTTTTGGGTTAATGGTCTGATGACCTTTTGGGGCCACTAAATAAAGAAAAAGAAAAAGTTAAAAGAAATAATGCTTTCCAACGCATTTCTTTAACCTAGGCGGAAAGAATCCTATGCCATCACAAAGAGCTGAAAAAAGACACTAGAATCCACTTGACTAGGTAAAGATACTAAAAGATCTCGCCGAAAGGGACGAAAGACACTAAAATTTCGCTTGGATTCGTACTTGGTTAGGCTTGAAGTTGAAAAAGGGGTGGAGAACCATACTATGAGACTAGCAGTATCACCCACTCAGCTCCAATCCCTCTTCGTGGACTTTTCACTGGCCACGGACTTGGTTGCCCTCCACAAACAAAAAGGGGAAAAATTTTGGCCGTCCAAATTTGACAGTGCTCTCCTGCCATACAATAGTTCACGCAGACTCTTATAGCAGTATCGGATTTGGATACATTTTCCAATCCAAGCTGTCAAACATCGGTAGCCAAAGGTTTTTTTCAGAAAAAGACTGATCGGACGGGGCTGAAGTGACTAACGATCACCCACCATCAAGCAACTCGACAACTCCCAACGTTGTATCTCTTTAATGTGGTTTGGGAAATGGAACTCTTTTTGTGAATGCTATTAAGATGGTGTTTGGTTCTGTTGTTTATTTGAAAAATGACACCAGGAGTTTCTTTTAATAGAGTTCTAGACTATTTAATTAAATTGTTTATCAAATAAATATTTGTCTTTATTTGTGTCAGATTTTTTTATTGTTTTTCCCAACACCAAGGCATTTTATTTTCATTATTCAGCTTATATGGCATCTAATGGAGTTGGGGTTGGGGTTAGGGTTAGGGTTAGGGTTGAATGGTTGACCTCTTGGGCAACCTGACCCAACCTGAACCAATTCTATAGTACAGTCATATATAAATATGCGTTATATATATAATTTTATTATACATTGATTTGTTTAAATGCATGATAGTTGAATAGCCCCCACCACATAGTATCATGTATTTCTTTTAAAATAATCACTTCACTTAATCCCAATCAGAAAGGCTAAAATCTTAATAACATATTTTATATTTTTTGAATATTTTATTTTTCATCTCTTCTTTGTTGTTTGCCGCTCATAAAAGATTTACCATAACTCATAACTCATCATAAACTATAGCCATTTCAAATACTTATTTTTCTGAATTTTGAACTAAAAGAACCAATAAAAATGTCAACAAACAAATACTAATGAAACATAGGATTAATATATGTAGTGAAAGTTAAGATCTAAAATTGAGAAATTCTAAGAGATTTTTAGGGATGGAAAGAAAGTTGGGTTGGTCCCAACCCGAGCCCATCCATGCAACCCAAAAGATGTTGGGTTGGGTTAAGGTTAGGGTTGAAGGAATTTAGTTAGGGTTAGGATTGGGCTAGGGTCGGCCTCTAGCCAGCCTTAGCTCAACCTAACCCGACTTGACTTACAGCCCTATCCACAGCAAATAACTTATTATTATTATTATTATTATTATTATTATTATTATTATTATTAGGGGAATTGTCAAAAACTCACCATGTCTATAAGTTTTTATTTTCCAAAACTTACTTTCCGTTAGTGCACCATTAATGCTTCTTAATAAAGATGTCCATGTCATCATAAATAACAATTTTCATGACAAAATTACCCTTAAATGGCAAGTTAGAGGAAAAGGGTGCACCGTTATCCAATCTTTATATTATTCGAGTTTTTTTTGTCTTTTTCAGTTTTCAGTTTTCTTTTTTTTTTCATTTTTAGTGTTTTGTTATAATTTCCAATGTTTTTATAATTTCTGCTTTTTACATATTCTATTTTCTACAATCTATAAATTTTCCTAGATTTTTTGTTATTTATTTGCGATTTCTGTGTTTTTCTATAATTTTTTATTGTTTTCTTCAATTTTTATTTTCTGATATTGTTTTTCAATTTCTATAGTTTCTATAATTTGAAAATATATTTTTTATATTTTTCGTAATTTCTATGTATTATGTATTTTATATTTGAAATTATTTTTAAAATTTTTTCCTTTTTTATGTCTAAATATTAAAATATATATGTATATATTTTATATTTATCTATGAAGGTTAAAATAGTAATATATTACCACCCATTAGTCTATTTAACGCCAAATTAGTGACATGGTGAGTTTTAGACATTTTGAAAAGTTATGGTGAGTTTAAGAGAAGTGCAGAAAACTCATGGTGAGTTTTAGACAATTTCCTTATTATTATTATTATTATTACTAAAATTTCTTAAAGTACCCCTAAGTTTTTTGACAATTACCATCGTTGTTAAATATTGATAGAGAAAAGCAAAATGTCAATTTTACCCTCCATTATTTCTCAAATTTCCAAAATAGAATCCAACTCATAAAAATTTTTTCATGACTCTAATTTACTGGTGTTGCCGTATCTATTCAAGCACGCCTCCATGCATCTCTTGTTTTTATAACTTTAAGACACCATACACTTGAGCTTCTAAAGACATCTCATTTGCAACTGTGGAAACTTAGCATCATTGAGTTTCTTGATGATCTCAATCTTCTCTACGTGCGGCTTGAGGGCATGGTTTGGAGTTAAGTCAACATCCCACAAGACATGCTTTGTGACTATAGGGGTGGCAATTTACAACTCAACCCGCTCAACCCGCTCAACCCGCCCAACCCACCCATTTATTAGCGGGTTGGGTTGTATTCGTTAATCCTGGGTCTTTAGCGGGTGGGTCAACTCAATAAAAATATTNTCAACCCGCCCAACCCACCCAATAAAAATATTTGTTAATCCTAGGTCTTTAGTGGGTGGGTCAACCCAATAAAAATATTTTTAATGGGTTGGGTCATGGACATCCAATAAGGCTACTTTCTTTTTCATTTGGACAGAGCTTTACTCCTTCAATTTCCATATTCTCTCTCTCTCTGCCAAGATTTACATTTCTTCGTAATTACTGTAATCGTCAAAGAACACTACTTGTATCAGTGAAGTCAACATTAGAGTGCATCGTCGATTCTTATTGTGATGTGAACAGTATCGGTGCCGTTGCCTTAAGTCGTGGAAGACGGAGGTTCTATAATATGTCAGTGAAATTCAGATTGAGTAAAAAGAATTTGAGACTAATGTGATAGCGTTGTTTCTTGAAGTCACAGTTCATGTTGGAAATCTGATACTGGTGTGGAAACTATGGTAAGGCATTCACAACTCTCAAATTGATTGCAACTATTCATTTATCACTTGTATATAAGCAAAGGATTTTGGCGAGGTTGGAACATTTCATTCCTTTTCCACTTGTTTTTTTTTTCCTCTGCATTTTATTTTGATATTTTTCTGGATAAAAATTCATTTTTCACTTCTACATATTTTGCTGAAATTAGGATTTCTCTAGGCTTCCTTTTGTGCTTCTGTTGGTTTTTCATATTTGGCCTTTTTAGTTGAGGTTTTCCTACTTAAATTTTAAAATCTTCTTTTAATCCCAAGAGGAATTATTCTCAACTCTTAAATCTAGAGACAAGCTGGAGGGATTTGGACATTGAAGTGGAGGTAAAATTTCCTCTTGATTTTCTGGACTTTTTTTTTTGTAATTTATGTTATTTTTCCGTGTATTTCTTTGGTTTTTTGTAATCCATGTTATTTTTCATGTATTTCTTTGTTTTTTGTAATTTATGTTATTTTTTCGTTTATTTATTTGTTTTTTTTTTAATTTATGTTATTTTCTTCATTTTCTGGGTTATTTTATAAATTTTTACAATATTTATTTTTTCTGTAATTTATGTTATTTTATGCATTTTCTAAAATTTGTGTCTCATTTACTGAATAAAAAATTAATGGATTGGGTTGAACCCAACCCATTTAACTTTTCATAAATGGGCCATTAATGGGTTGCCGGGTCAAATGGATTGGATTGAAACTCAACCCAAACCCAACCCACCCAAACCCGCCCAATTGCCACTCCTACTCGACTGGGCAGATATTGTTATTGCCAGAAAATACCCATTTCTCTATGCACTCCTGATCATACGTTAACCCTGTTGAGACCATTACGGGACCTCTCATGATTTCTAGGGGAATCGGGCAAAGAAAATAAGGCAAAATATCAATTTGATCTATTCTATTAAGTACCTAGATACCAAAATCCAAATTCAAGGAAACCCAAAAAGGCCCAAACGCAGGATATCAAGAGATAAGATGGAAAATCTTGCTGAAAAATGCTTCAATCAAAGAAAATCAAGAAATAACGCCCAAAATCTGATCTGGACAAAATTTAAGAGCAGAAATGTTGAGGATTCGATTGAAGGTTGGGAATGATGTTATTGGAGCTTGGAAGCTGAATGCTTGTTCTGAATTTGTTTGGGAAAGGGA